TATCAGCTGCCTTTAGTGTCTTCTAAGCCTAGTATTTCTTTTAAAAGTTCATCTTCTGATAACTTATCATAGAAAGAGGTTAATTTTGGAACGGACACCAATAACTCTACTTCACTTGTTGATAGTGGACTCTTTGAGTTGAACAGCCCCAAACATATCTGCTAATTACTTGATCACTGATGTGGATTTCAGAATGAAAGCCAGCAATGCACACACGCATCTCTCTTCTCTTTACTTCTCGCAGAGAGAGTCTAGCATCTATTAATTGTTCTCCTTTCGTTCTCTTCTTAAACCTTTTTGTTCTCTCTAACGAAATTTCATATTGGTCTGATTTTAAAAGTATCGGTACATTTTCAATAGCATGTTACACAAAGTGAAAGCGATTCTCGTGCAGAAACAATCTTAAGCTCTCTAGGTTGGTCATCATTTTGTCAAGAGTAAAGTCTTCAGTCTGCAGATACTTCTGTGTAAGATTAACATCTTCAAGTAGATCATCCCAAAGGTAAAGGTGGAAGATAAACTTGAAATCACAGACAACATGTAAAAGACATTGTGCTGTATTACAATCGTGCTCCAATGTTAAGATGTGGTGCTAGTGACGAATCGGCGAAAATATTTATTTTAGAGTATTTCTGGGTTTTGATAGATTTGGTTTCAAAAACATATTTTTAAAAGTTTTTAAAAATAATAATTCATTATTACAAAGTATTAGAAAATTTTGTAAGATATTATTTTGTTGACCTTTAAAATAGGTTAAAACTCATTTTAAATGTTATTAATTTGTACCGATTCGATTCATCAACTTAGAATGGTCCGACCACATCATATTTCGTTATCATATAAAGCTTTACTTCTCAGAATGTAGATAACTATTGCTTCGTGTCATTTACGAAAGCTACCGAAGACTTCAATCGGCGTTGAATCATGGTCAAAAAGTCGTTTCTGACGCATCATTGGGATTGGTTACACGTGTGGAACGTGTGGTAAATTTACGTGTGATGGGTTATCATTTTATGAAATTCCATTAGACCTAGCGGTCTGTGCTCTGCAAATATGCTATTTTTCCATTTGGTATCACCCCCTGGGATGGTGTCAACCCCTGGGATGGTGTCACCCATTGTGGTCCGCCCCCCCACACCCCTAGCTACGTCACTAATTAACCCTATAAATGGGTCAAAAGTCATTTTTAAACGGCGTTTTTTTCTGACCTAATTCTAGGGTCACCTCATTTCTGACGCATCAACATTGAACTTTTAATAAAGCACGCATTAAGATTGGTTACAAGTGTGAAAAATTTCCGCACCCCCCGCACCCTCTAGCTACGCCACTGAGTTCAATACATTGAAAGATATTGCCATGAGAGTGCCAGACCCCATCCCCCACCCCTTACTTGACCATTTCCTTACCTCCAACCATGCCTGGCATCATGCTCCCAGTGGCCTGATTGTAGAGACCTGGAGAACAAGATAGAGATAGTGTTATGTCAGCACTTTGTGAATAATAAAATGGTTACCGACAGAGCAATGTCCTAAAAATGACAACATGATCGACATATCAGTATAAAGAAGTAACATCGAAATCCTACATCTGTAGTATACTTTAAACCCACACCCCCCCCCCACACAGTCATCAATAATCGATAACTTTTTGTAATAAAAAGCACACACAATCGTCAATCATTCCGTACCATTGAGCCTCAACTCTAAAAGATAACTATCCAAAGACTTACATTGCATCTGGGGGTCTGTACCTCCAGCGACTTGTCCACTGATTCGCTCTGTCATCAAAAACGAAACAAAAAGAAACTATGTTCAAGATAACATTCCATAGTATTCGTTGACTTAGCACCTCTAACATCAGTGATTCTAACACCGAGTTGGACTTATCCCCACAGGGTACAGGAATAATGTTGCTTAAAATGGAGCGCATGTGTATGAATTAATTGAGCACAAGCTACATGGACAAAATATCTTGTATCATTTTGCGATTGCGACTGTGAGCCTTGTGGTGTGGGGATCACTGACTGTGATTCTGATGAAGTGCTTTACTTGAATGAATGTTTTGTCCCATTATAAGCCCCAACTGAAACTAGGCGATGCTGTGCGTAGTGCAGAAGACAGAGACGAATGGAGCA